TTGGTGGTTTTGCATTTGTTTTTGGAGACAGGGTCTTATCTCGTCTTCAAGGCTGGCCTTGAACTCACTTTATATAGTCCAAACTGGCCTAGATCTCATGGCAATCCTCCTGCCTCAGCCTCCCAAGCGCTGGGATTACAGGTGTGTACCACCATGCCTGATTTGGGGGTATTTTTAAACCTCCGACAGATGTGTGAATACACAGGTGCATTTTCCTCAAAAGCTTTGATCCTGGTGCATTTATTTGGGAGTTATCAGCATATAACAATAGATTAAGAATTTGGATGTTGGGGCTGGGAATTTAGCTCAGTGGCATAAGCACCTGCCTTACAAGCCGGCGGTCGTGAGTTCGATCCCCGGTACTGATAAAAATGAAAAAGACAAAAAAAAAAAAAAAAAAAAAAAAAGAATTTGGGTATCGAAAAAAATCAGCTGCCAAGTATACAATGAAAGGAGTATTGTGCTGAGGGCTGCAGAAGAACTCTAACAAAAATCAACTTTCAAAGAAGACAGGCCCTCCAGGAAGTCAGAAAAAGAATAATCATCAAGACAAATTTTCAGAATTTAAAGTAAAAAAAAATCACGAGAGTATCTTTAAGGTACAGATAATCCACCATTTAAAAGCAGCGTTTTATAGTATTTAGTACAGGAAATACTAGATAAATGCACTGGATTTAACAGTCAAGTGATCCCTGGTGCTTCAAGTTAACAGTGGGGATAGAAGGGAAACTACTTGTTCCACAATGATTGAGAGTCCACGAGGAGACGAAATGGCTTGATTACATCACATTACATACCCCATCCACACTTCCCAGGATAACAAAAACAAAATGGAAAGATAAGAGCTAAATGCGGCAGTGCTCTAGGCATGCAACACTGGTGAAATAATATCCACTGTGAAGTCAGCAGAGATTTGCTGGGCTTGAAAATAGAAATGATTATAATTCCCAAAAGAATTTTCTAAGGCCAGCTCTGTGAGACAAAGTGTGCTATTGGATGTCCGATTAAACAAACAAACAAACAAAAAATGGATTTCCCATAGGCAACCTTAGGGGCATGTAACATTTGCTCTCAATCATAGGAATTGGTAGTGAAAATGCAGCCTATGAGGGGCACGGAGCATGGAGCATGTCATAACACACCATTTGGCTAGTTGAAAAACATCAAATACATAAATCAGTGTCCAAAAGGAATTGACCAAAACAGGAAGTATATGAGAAATTTATGGGTAGCTCTGCGGCTTCAGCACTGCACTCATTTGTCCACTAACAACTCAATTTATTCATAATTCACTAAAAGTCAACACTTAAAATCAATTAGAAGCAGCATTCAAGTCTTTAGATCAGTTAATCTGATAATGTATGCATGTCTTGTTTTTCAGTAAAATGACCCCCAAAGATTGCAGATTTAGTGTCCTTAGTTTTTTTCAAAACATTTGAAACAATGAAGACATAAATATTTTCAAATATGCAATATTAGGTAGAGAAGACTAATTTAAAATTTCACATGACATTTTTGGCCAGTAGTTATGAATACATGTTTAAGAATGAAGAACCACTGGCTTGTTTATCCAGTCAAAAAATCACTATGCATTATCCACTATGTGCCATGGTACTATATGTAAAATTATATAATGGGCTGTGGTTATAAAGAGACAAAAATGACACATTCCCTATTGTCTTATTAACAACGGTATTTGGGGAGGAATAGCACCAGAAAATTACTACATAAGCTAAAATGGAACAAATAATTGTGAGAGGTTGATGGAAAGAGTTCTCGAGGGGAACCGGTGGTACAGCAGAAGCTTTTTAAAAGATGCACACAGAAATATTAAGTACTAAAAGGACTCCGTGTGCAGGTGAAACTGATTTTGCTTTTGAAAGTCACAGGGTAGAATTTATAATTGTAGACTGAGCATTCATATGGGCTGTTTTCAGCCAGGGGTGTAGAAGGAATTGCCTATAGGGAGATCCAGGACAGACCCTGATTGATTTATGTAGAATCTGTACTCAGAAAACTGCTTCAGGAATCAATCCATGGATGGTAGGATTTCCAGGAGAGGTAAACAGTGGTTTCTTCTATCCTGGACCTTCATAGCAAAGGTTCTTTTTTTTTTTTTTTTAACCTGGACAAGGAGGGAACGATGACACTGCAGGAGCCCCTGGAAGCTATTTTCCACCAGTAAGAAAAGGAAATTAGCACAGAAGATGCAAAGCACAAAAATGGAAAGAACTGAGTGCCAGTTATGTCATAGACCTCTGAATCAAGTAACAGATTGTTATGTAATCTGCATGTATCTTGAAACCAAGATAATCATACTGTATATATTTACAAAGTAAGACAAATAAAATCTTGGTGAATACATTTTCATAGAACCCATTCTCTCAACATAACAGGCATGTTCAGTATCAACATAAGTACTCTAAATGATGAGAAATGTCCAATGTTGTGTTACATGCACAGTTGTAACACAAAAAAACTCTTTCTACAGCAAGTCTAGAAGTAAATGCTTTGTATATAAAATGAGAATTTAAACTACCATTCCATGACAGGATTAAAAAGCTCCACTTTCACAGTTTTGTCTATTGTAAGTGCAAAAAATCTGAGAAATGAACATATACTAGAATACACTAAGGATAAAGCCCTGCATAGACTTTTTAAATAAGAGATATAATGAAAGAAAGCTACTTGATATCATATGCCAGACTCTGAAGATCAAATGAGAATTGAAGGTGATACATAATCTATTCAATATGATTTATTTTACTAATTATTATTTTATTATTTTTTGTAATTTTGACTATAAAGATGCACGGTATCTATGTGTTCAGGGATTGCTGGGCATGGTACACAGTTATACTCTGACAGACCCAACTCTTGGAGAGACCAAGACAAGAGGATCACAAGTTAAGCTCAGCCTAAGCATATGAGTTACTTGCCAAGACCCTGTCTCAAAATTTAAAAAAAAATGTAAAAGGAGTGGGGATATAGCTCAGTTAAGGCCCTGGGTTCAATGTCCAGTACTGGAAAAAAATAAATATGGTGGCAGCATGCAAACAGTACAAAACAGCACTTCCAGCTCTGCTGCCCAGGGGCCCTGACTAACCAGGATGATATGAAGAGTGCAAAAGTCCTGCTGAATTCAATGATCTGCCTCACTAATGTATAAATAATTCATATATCTTTACTGCTTTTTTATTTTAAAATAATTATAATGCCCAGCATGTTGTAAATGTGACACAGAGAGGTGCATACCCCTCACTTGGTTTCCAAGGCTTACATCTTATATACCTGCACTACAATATGTAATTTGACATTCGAACAGTGCATGTATAGTTCCATGACATCACCTGTACATTTAAATTTGCATAAACATCCTATCAAGATACAGAGCTATTACTTTAATACAAAGATTTCCTTTGTTAATCCCTTCTAGTCACTTTCACAATCATTTCGTTTGTGTTCCAATTATTCTTCCTAGATGATAGTGCTCATTTTCTACTTAAATTTCATTTTGTCTGTTCCATTTCTGTGAAGTGCTGTCCCACCCCTTGATGTCACAGTCTCTAATGGACTCTGAATCCTGTTTCAAAAATAATGCAGAATAATGCAGAAACTTCAGAACTTAGTGCCTCTGAAATATGGCGGGGATAGTGGGGCTGACTTGTGAATCCTCTTTTCTGCCTAATTTCTCATTTTTGGTGATTTTGAGTTTTGCTCATCTTTCCATAGTTTCCCCTACATTCTCTTTTTAGACTGTCAGATTTTAAATTCCTAAAATGTTCAGTCTTCAGATCCTGACTTAATATTCCAAAAATGTCAAACATTTGCAAAATAGGAACCCAACTTATTGAGATTTCTAATGGACCAGTGGGGACTGTGTCAATCAATCATAAGAAAAATCAAAACGTGATGGCAGGGTTGGATGGTAAATGAAGGTCTACAAAAGGTTCTGATGATCTACAGTGGCTTAGTCATTCCGGTATACAACTGAAGTCTCTACTCTTGTCCTCAAGAATCAGTTCTTGCTCTCAATCTTCCTATGGAAGAACACAATCCTCCTCATAAAGGCCAGATTGGAAGTCTTATTAATTTCACTCTAACGCTCTGAAATTACTTCTTGGTTTATGCAAATTTCCTCAAATTCAATTTTTTTGAGGCATCAAGGTACCTTTCATCTTGCATACAGCTAATACACTTTTAGTTTCGATTCTGCAAAAACTTAGCAACATGAAAACTTTTTATATTCAGTGTGCAATTTTATTTTGGCTTTCAAGTTAGGATGGGCCAGATAGTCAAGCTAAGACTGTGCTGCCGACTTTATTGCTAGAACATACTACCTATGAACGTTCGATAGGCCCAAGGTAGTCAGTTGGACACCCAAGTTTCTAGGACTTTTAACAGTGGTGGCAATTATGATCTACTTCTACTCTAGTAATGACATGCGTAAAGAAAGCCCACCTTCATCTCAGAAAAATAGAATAGCTTAGAATTAGGTAGAAACTTGGGGGCTGGGGATTTAGCTCAGCTCAGCGGCATAAGGACCTGCCTTGCAAGCAGGCCGTCCTGAGTTCGTACAGGAAAAAAAGAAAAAAAAATTAGGTAGAAACAGAGATGGACGGTTCTTCCTAGTGCCTGCCTCATTGACGGCCTTAATTGATTTATGCCAAAGGCTAAATTTTTAAAAAGAATTTTTACATAAAATTCAGATTACCTAGACAGCTGCAATAAGAACCTGAAGAGAACACACTTCATTTATGTTGTACTGTTATAAAGATTCCAAAAGTGGATCACTAGGCATTAAAGACTTAAAAAGACCAGTATAAACGGAGCGTGGTGGCACACAGTCGTTAGTCCAGCACGGAGGACGGCTGGGGCACGAGAGTCGCAAACTGGAGCCAGAACTGGGCAATTTAGTGAGAGAGACGCTAAATAAAAAGTGAAAAGGGATTGGAGATGTAGCTCAGTGCTGGGACGGGAAGCACCAGGAAAACACCGCACTCACTAGCGCACACAACACACAAGCACAAAGAAAAAACATTCCACTTCCGCAGAAGAGCCTGGCAGTGGAGGCTGCAGGTTGGGGCTCCTCGCCCCTCACCTTTCAGCCCAGCCAAGGCCCTAGGGCGCACCGCCCGCGTCATTGGCCTCGCGTCCCCGCCCCGCTCGCACAGGCGGCGGTCATGGCGGCCGCGCGGGTCCAGGCGCTGGCGGGCGGCGTGCTCCGCGGCCACGCTCCCTCCGCCCAGCCGCCACGTCCTCTCCGCGTCGCCGCGGGGTCGCCGCTGCAGCGGGGCTTAACTCTCGGCGGGGCCTTCCAGGGAGGGCGCGGCGGCTCCACAACTGGCCTGCACGACAAGCCGGAGAGCACGGAGAGGCTCCCAGCGAGCGGAGAGTTAACGGCGGCCGAGCGGCGGATCGCGGAGCTGCACGCAGAGGCCTGCGCGGTGAGCTCCTGCCCCACCACGCCCACCACGCCCCAGTGCGCCTGCGCCTGCGCCCGGCCACGCCCCTCACCGGGTGACTGGGGAGCGGCGCGGTCTGTGGCGGTGGGGACATAGCCTCGGGGTCGCGCTGGACAATGGGTTGACGGTGTGCGGGTCCTGGGTTAGAGTAGCGCTTATTTTCTGATCAGCTGGTCGCAGTATGTGACTTGCTCCCATGTGTGTGTGTGTGTGTGTGTGTGTGTGTGGTGGGGTGGAATTGAGGCATTGATGGGGGGGGGAGTTTGGAAGTCTTAGGGAAAATGTGTTGAACAGATATATTGTATCTGTGTTTCACTTGAACACCACTATCCAGTGATTTTAAAAATGAAAGAAAAGAAAGACAAGGGCAAGTTCATTTTTAGTTTTTGCTGTGGCCTCCTGGTTGTTTCTGAGGGAGCAGAGGAAACTATAGGGTTTCATCCTAGACTCTCCAGCCAGGGCTATGCTTTCTTCTGTTTTGTAGATCTGACAGTTGTTTCCAGCAGCATCTAAACTCAATGTCTCCCAGTACTTAAGATGACATAAATTTGAAGGTAGCATATTTATATTTTTATAACCCTTACGAAAGAAACAATGGTAAAAGGAGAAACAGTTCTTTAATAAGATAGACAAATAATATAAAATGAACCTATTTAATAATCCGCATAGATACGTGACCAGGGCTTGATAGGTCTAGTGTTATATGGTGTCACTTTAGAAAAAAGCCTTAGAGGTTGACTAAAGTTGACTGTTTTATTTTTATTGATAATTAGAAGACCAGGAGAATCCAGTCTTTAATCCATTCAAGTGCTGAAATTGGATAAAGTTTCACCAAAACAACTGATAGCTTTTGATTTGCTTTTTCCTCCGCCAGTACTAGAGATGAATCCAGGGCCTACTCACTGAGCCACGCTGTCAGCGCCACCCTTTTAATTTTGCCTAGACTGGGCTCAAACTTGCATTCCTCTTGCTTCAGCCTCCCTGAGTGCTAGGATTTTAGGCTATGGTACTATACCAGACTTGATCTTGTTTATACACTGCCTTTAAAAACAGCATGTGTAATTTGTTGCCACACAACCATATAAAAATGGTGAATATAAGCCAAAAATTTCTTGTTTTTAGAGCAAACACTAGCAGCATGTAAAAACAGGTTCAATCAGCAGGAAGAAAGAAATGAATTTTTTCTTACACAGGAAATCCCCAGTTGTTTCATTAGTGTCAGTATCAGAGGTTAAATGACTTCCAGGAAACCATAAATACGCACAAAGAGAAGCTGGTGGTTCTTGCTGCTTTCTTCCATACCTCAAGGTAGAGAACTGGCTTAACTTCTTGCACCAATGTGCATCACTGAAGATCTTGCTCGCCAATCGAACTGTCAACTCACTGATCTTGGTTGCCACCGATCTTTGTTGCCACCGATCTTTGTTGCCACCATTGTGTAGGACTCCTTTGCTGAGGGTGGAATGCGTTTGTATGAGCAGCCAGCAAGCTCAAAGGTTCTCAATGGAAAAAAAAAAAAAAAAAAAAAAAAAAGCTGGCAGGCGGACACGCATGCGCAGGCTGTTAGCCCTGTAGTTGGGGAGATAATTGCCCTTCTAATCATCTAGAAACTGCAAGTGAAAGAAGGCCGTTGTGATGTGCTCGGTGTTTTGTTTCTCTCCCAAGTTTCCAAAAAACGAACTTTATGAATAAAGAAGCAAAGGTCAAACAGAACGGAATAGAGTCTAATCAGTCAAAACAAGATAGTGGGAGTAATACAGGACTTCAAAACAAGTTAATAGGAAATCAAAAAAGTTATTATAATATATCCTGCTAATTTTCCCCCTTAATTAAAAAAATAAAAAAATAACTAAATTTTTTTTAATGAATAAGAAAGAGATTGAGATAAAAGAGGACATAACAACATAGCAATTCAGGTCAAAGCATGACAATTTCAGCAGCCTAGTGCTTCACCAACAAATAACCCGACCTTGTAGTTACCATAGTGTCTTTTTCCTTGAAATATTTGAATAAAACTTCATATACTATAGCATCAAACATATCAAGACAGTGTAAAAGCATTCAAGTGGATGAAAGTATTGTATTTAGAACCAGCTAACAGAAAACGAGCAATGGTTTCTATATTATCTCTTTGCCTATAATAATTTTTATTTATACTATCACATATAATAAAATCCAGCAAGATATATCATGATAAAACCAATGGAGACAGAAGAGCCATAGTTTGGTGGGGCTTCAAAACAAGATGATATTAAATCAGCACTAGCTATGACTTGTTTTCTTCAAAATAGCTGTTCATTTCATCACAGGCAATAATATCAAGCAGCCCAGAATAAAGCCATTCCAATTAATAAGTGAAAACTTTATAAGGCTTCATGACCACATAATGGGGAATCATGATTACCACGTGTTTACAATGTTTAGGTTCTATTGGTCTTGTTCTGTACTGTTTTGCTCAACTTTATAATACCTAATGATATAGGCAATTCTTTTTAAGGAAGCAAGAGGCATTATGGTAACCATTGTTGATAACCTTGTACTCTATTTTTACATCATGTGCTATGTCTATCCTTGGTTTTGACTGACAGCTTTGTTTTGTCATATTTGGTTTTATTCTCTTCCAAAAAAATAATAAGAACTATGGGAGTAATAAAACCCAAAATGTGTAAATTTTGTTGTAAAAAAAGCGAGGGAAAAAAAGTACTCTAAAGAATACAACTGCAAGTGTGTTTAGGTGTGTTAAGATAGATGACCATATTAATGTTTTTGTTGGATCATTGAACACAACTGTTTGCAGTCTCACTGTTTGAATGTCCACTTTGTATGCTTTGATCCTGTGACTTGAGCAACTATCTCTAAGATGATAATGTGTAATCTATTAACTGGTGATTTCTTACTTTTTTTTTTTTGTAGTTCTGTATTACTTGTACCCTTACACTGTTTTGTTTTGGTTTTTTTTTCTCTTTTTAAATAAAATTTAAAAAAAAAAGAAGCAAAGGTCCTCTAAAGTGGTATGCAGTGTGCCCAATCCTGTGTAATCTGTTTCTGTGATCTCAAAAAGTTGGGGAGGTTTCCACAACCAAACTGGAGCCTTGCTGAGTTCCTACTTCTTTGATCTAGCTTTTCTGGGATGCTATATCAGAACCTGGACCTGACCCTTGAAACTTTGAACCTTACCAGTCCTTTTTTTTTTTTTTTCAACATTTTATTCACAAAATACAGTTGGTATTGAACCATTAAATAACATTAACTAAGACATTGATCTGCCAAAGAAGTTGTTCATGACTCATTAAAATGCATGTCAGCATACAGGGTAACTTAATGTATACTTTATTGCAAAGTTCTGTACCCGAGCATATGGTAAAAACGTTATTTTTGAAAAAGCCCATGGGAAAGTTCCCATACAAAATATTAAGACTAAGTAATATCACCGAAATTTCTGAGATCCACAGAAGTTATTCACTTTTACCTTTACACCAAGTACTTAAAGTGATTTTTTTGATAAATGTGTAAATATAGGTAGAACAATGCTTCCTTGATTAGAGTGCTATTACTAGAAGTGGCTTTTGATGAACCTTTGAAGAAGAAGTGATTCTTAATGTGTTAAACCACTTTTTTTTTTTACTTAAAAAGAAAATTTAAAACACTCTAGACAAAAAGAAAATAGTGTGAGACATGCAATGGAGTAACATCATAAAGGTAAAGAAAAGTGTTCAATAACGGCAAAAGTAATACGTTTCTGTAAGGACCGTTGGTTTTGATTAGCACCTTTTCTGTAAGTCTAAATCATTATCCACATATTTTAAGTACTGAAATTGCAATTGCAACTTCTGAGTGAAAGTTCATTTTCAGCCTCTTAAGCTCTTAAAATCACTTAAATCACCTGTTATTAAGCTTGCTACCTAGAAACTGAATGAAAAATATCAGAGCAGTCACTAATAGTTACTGTGTATAGAGGAGTTCTTGTTTTTCCATCAACTTCTCATTTTCTTGACTTGTGTATTTTCTCCTGTAGTCACATAAAGTTGGATCATAGTATATGTTGGAATGCATTCAGTCTTTCTTTGAAAATGGCACTAAAATTCATGGGAAGAGATTTAATAATTTTTTTACAATGTTTTACCATACTTCAGGAGTAGAAAGTGTGTTGAGGAGCTATGATGAACACTGAGGTGAATGGATTGTTTTATTTTCTCACCCCTTAGGCCGGGCAGTTAAACTATGTGGACCCAGCTACTGGTTCCTTCGTGTTCACCAGGCTGGCCCACTTGCAGAGAGGCGCCTGCTGTGGCTCCGCCTGCAGACACGTGAGTAACAATTCACCTTGTAACAGCAGTTTGCGGTGCTTCTATAACTTCATAAAGACCTGTTATTTGAACAACAAGTCAAATAAAAAAGCTAAATAGACCTGGAGTGCACTTTTCACAAGCTACTTTAGCCAAGGACAATGAAGTCCTTAGTACCAACATAGGACCTTTAAAGTTAATGGAATTTGGTAATGTTTAATTGTAAGCATCAGTCCCTAAAAATGCTGCGGACTTGAAATTCACGGGAGCTCTTTCATTACAAGAAAACTTTTCATGAGGTTCCAAATGAGTTATGTTCACTAGGCAAGTACAAAGAAGGCAGGAAAAGAAATCAAGGATGTGGCAAACTAGATCCCAAGAAGCATTTTCATTATTAGCTGAATAAATAAAAATTAGCCCAGCACTGAGAGCTGAGAGGTGGGTCGCCTTCAGAAGATAATGATTTCTTCCTTCTTTTCTCTCTTCCCCACCCCCCCTACTCCCCTTTCCCTCTCTGTCTTTTTCTCTCTCCCTCCCTCTCTGTCTATCTAGCTTTTTTCCTAATCCTTTATGTTTAAAAGTGTGAAGCTAAATTTCCCCAAATTTAGTCCTATACATTTCCTAATATTTTTATATCAGTAAATGACAAACTGTTTCCTTCTTCCCTATTTTAAGCAATGAAATACAAATGGATTGTTTACTATTAAAAACATAACATTAAGGTAAATTGTTATAGGGTTAAGATTATAAATCAATATCTTGTTTACAGAACATTTTATATGGTTTGTTGCAAGAAAGTGTTACTTCCTTTAACAGAACTACTTCTTGATTAAAGAGTAGACATTAAGTGTATGTATTTACTGTGTCCTTATTGAAAAATTCAGCCTTCATTTTTATATATGGTCCTACTTGTATTATTAATGCTGTTTCTGATGAAATACGTAACAATTTTGTATAAATTGAAGACTTTGGATACTTTAAGTGAATATTTGACAGTAAAATTCTTAAAGTTGGAAGGATCCATTTAGGAAATAATTCTTGAACCCTAGCTAGGGTCATTTGCTGAAAGTTACTATTCTTTCTTCTTGATCTGCAACAGTTGATACAGTAAATGATCTATATAATGTTCTTAGCAATCTCTTTTTTTTAACTTGAAAAGAAGTGTGCTTTTTCAAGATGATTGTTAAATAATTTAATAATAATAATGTTTTATTTCTTCTGCAGTGTCCATATGGTCAAGTCAATGTTAAAGATCCATCTAAAAAGAAGCAATTCAATTCATATTTTTATGTTTGACAATGCTTTTTGTCTCTGTTCTCTGATTGAACTTGTACTTAAAAATAAATCTCTTACTTCAGAATTGCTATGTTGTTTGTATTGGAACACAAGTTTAATCTTAAATACACATATTAAAAGAACATCAGTGGAAAAGCTAACAAATATGTATAGCACAGTGATAATCATTTTCCTTTCTTTTGTGCTTCATATGTTGAGGAAAGAAAATAATGCCCATTCTATTAAATAAAAGTAGCAATTGGGTCACATGAGTAGCTCTTGATGTCTTTTAGTCTTGATGTCTTGAGTCTCCTATTATTTTCTTGTCAGTGTTAGCAGTCAAGGGAGGTTGCTGGCAAACAGAAATATTTGTTCTTGATACTTATGTCTTGAGCTATTAGGAGATTAATACGATGCAATTTTGTGCAGCATATAAGTGCCCATGAAATACTCTCATCTCCCATCTGTATTTCTAATGAAGACTTTAAATCATATTGACTTGGAGGTTGGGTCACTGAAGACACCTCATTGACCATTCTTCCTTTTTTCCTCTTCATTCCTTTGACACTTGCCAGGCAAATCTATCTTTGACTGTATCATTAGCTTTGCAACTACAATATCCATTGCAGTGATGCCTCCATGAAGCATCAGTCCTCAAGCTGAGTCAGGAACTCACAGGGACTGTTTGTTCCATACTTTTTCTGTTTCTCCATGCAGACTGCAGTTCCCAGGAGACCCTTTCCTAGCCAGTGGATGGTGTCCATAAAATGAGGCTTCTAGATCCTAGGACAGTGGGCCTTACCTGGAGCAGCTGACCTTTCACCTTCTCCAAATGGAATCTGAAAGGTTCTTGAAGACCTCAGTTGCCTCCAACAGTCCTCCAAAAAGTTTTGGTGCTCCCTGTAGTCTTGCTGGTACCTTAACCGTGATGCCCTAAACAACCCTTCACATGGGCCATATGAGATATCAGCAGCTTCCTTACATTCAAAAGAGCCATGTTTTTGACCTGAAATTACTTTGCAGGGATGGGTAGGAGAAGGTAGTCAGCACTGTGAATGTGGAGGCAGTTAATCTTTCCAGAAAAGCACAAGGATGCAGGCAGTTCTATTTCCATTTTTAGGTCAAGAAGCAGCCAGTTATTCACGTTTTTTCCACTAGCTTTGAAGATTAACAGGGCCATTTTTTGGGTGGAGGGTGGATAATGGTTTCTTCAGTAGCTTCAAGAAGAAAAGAGAAGAGAGCCCCAAAAGGTCTTGTTTCTTTCTTTTTGAACTTTTTTTATTTTAAAGAGATTAAGACAAAAGAGGACAGAACAAAGATAATCAGAATAGAACAATGTAAGCTACACAGTACTTCACCACAAGACCACTCAATATTAACAGTAGCTACCATAATGTCTCTTTCTTTGAAATAGTTGAGTGTACCTTCACATAACAAAATAGTATAAAACCATTCAATATCTTGTTTCTAGAGACAAAGAAAGTCCGCCATCATAAAGCACTTGTATACGGAACACTTGCTAGAACATCGAACTTTGGTAGCAAGAGACCAAAGGAGTCACTGGGCAGGGAGTGGGACAGAAAGGGATGGGGATGAGGATGCTCCGACTCCTTCCTGCACCTGGACCCAGAAGCTAAGGTCTGAAGTTTGAAGTGATTCTCCAGAGATGCATTTGAACCACACACATCAAGGGTGGCAGCCACATTAAACACAATATGGCCACATAAATGGATCTTACTGCAAAGAGCTTTAAGCTATATTGTATTCACACATTGTAAAGTAAAAATGCAGGTTTCTTATTAGGTGTGTGTATACAAACACATGTGGATGCTGGAAAATAGAGACTTCCCATTTAAATCAACTCATGCTGTTCTACTTTAAGGTTTCTGGAGACTCCTGCCCCAGAAGCAATGAATCCAGGGAGACCAATTTCTAGATTGTTTCCACTTTAGAATGGCCCAGTAGAACCTGGGGTTACCAGGGCAAGGGTTGGGCATAGTTTGTGCTGCCCTGTGCTTCTTCTCTTAGCTAGGGAAAGACCCTGCCCTGTGTGGCCCTCTAACAGTTGGAGTCTGATGCATCTCTTCAGCTAACAAGGAAGAGGAGAGCTTTTATTTTTTTGAATAAAATTTGTGGCTCCCAAACGGTAGGCTTGGAATGGGGCAATCCTGACCTGGAAAGTGTCTTTGTTCCCCTTTCAAAGTCAGTTTCAAAGGTACAGTTATACTGTCAAAAACTGATAGGCCTTAGATTCATCTCTAGATAAGGCTGGGGAGGTCTACCTACCTAGACAAGTGGCAGCTGGCATGTTGACTGCCTTCAGCGCATCCCCTACCAGCCCACCAGGAACCTTTTTCTTCACCCATGGCCTCCCCCTGCCACTTCATCCTCTCTATATGCCAGCAGTGACTTGAGTTTGTGGACTGATACCTGTCCAGGGAAGTAGAAGATTTAAAACCCAGTATATTCTTTTCACTGAAGCAATTAAGGGGATACTCCCTGATGCTGAAACTATCTTCTCTTCCAAAACAAAAAATCAGATATTTTACATCGAGGTTTGTGCCCTGCTAATCACCTCTGAAGAATCTGAATTCTCAGAATAGACTGTGGAAGAAGGAAGAAGCCTCAGCTACCTTCAGCCAGAGACTGCGTTGTCCCTGGAGCCCTCAGCATATTCTGGATTTCTGGGGCCCCATGTGTGCCTGAGTGCTGTGATGGTCCTGTCCTTGAAAATTCCTAACAAACACATCCTCCTGAAATTTGTATACTAAAGTGTGAGTTTAGATGTGTGCTTCAGTGCATGTGTGTGTACCAAAGTGTGTGTGTGTTTGCTAAATGCATATCTTTATCAAAAACCTGAGAGTCTGTGAGCTAAAAGAGGTTTACGATCATGAGATTGAGCTGAGAGCACCCGGGCAGTTTGCGGTTGTCACTGTCGTCCATCTATTCAATGGCCTCTGTAGGGCTCCTTAACTATCCTTTCCTGGTAGAGAGTGAACACTGACTTACAACAGGAATACTGGAAGAGGGAGCTGAGCCAGGATGGGAAGGGCAAAGTCTGGGAGTGGAAGCTTAAAAGGTAAACCGGTGGGATGGTTTGGTTGATGGGACTAGTGAGGCCAAAAAAGGGATTCTGTCCCGACTGATATGTGCGACATTCCAGGATTTCAGATGAAAAGAGGAAGCCAGGGCCCTCAGATTCCTAGTTCCTGGACTGTCCTTTACCTCCACTAAACCATGTAGCCTGTAACGGAGCTGGCAGAGCTGGTAGCTTCCATCCTGCGCTGCCCCATGCGTCGCCCCGGATCCCACGGTGCGGTCCCTGGAGTACTAGAGGCGCACAGGAGCCCTGGCCCACCGCATTCTCTGCCCACCGAGCCCTCGGCCCACGCACAGCCGTGGAGCGCTACCACGGCACGAGGGAGAGGGGAGGCGGGTAGGGAGGACGGCTCTGTCACCTGGACCAGCATTCAGAAGCTGCCAATCTCACCGCTCACACCCCCTTCCCCACTGGCGCGGGAGCCCAGCAGCAATCGCGCCTCCCCATCTCCCACTGCGAGGGGCGCACCTGGTGGGGAATGGGTAAATAATTGGCCTGAGGCCTGGCTTCCCGATTCTCCCTGCACATCCAGAGGCCTGACTGCGCCCGGGGCGACGCAGCCCCTCCGGAACCTGAAACCAGGTAACAGGGTCCCCGCCCCAGTGCCGGGTCCAGTCCATCCCGCGAACATTCCTCAGCCAGGGTTTGAGTGCAGGTCGTCCTCCACAGGATCAATCGCCTCCCACTCCCTAGTAGGGGCCCGAACTGGAGAGATGCCCGGGTCCACGCTCCGACCCATCCAGGAACTCCGCCCTCGAAAGCAGAATGCTTTGCAAGACGCTGGGTTCCTGGTGCCCTGCTGAAGAGCGTGGGGAGCGGAGGAGCGATCCTGAGGGGAGGCGGGGAGGCGGTGGATGAGCAATGAATGGCTTAGCCCAGTTTTCCCGCAGGAGCTACCGCCCATTCACCGTCTATGCAGGCACCAGCTGGCGGCGGCATCTTTCAGCTCAAGCTCCTGGAAGGCACAGGCTGGCTAGGGGGCCGGGAGCCCAGGGCACACCGCGGGACTCCAGCCCCAGCCTATCCCCGACTTCTAGACGCTCTCGGCTTTATGAGGTTCGGTTACCGCCGAGTCCTCCATTAACACCTCCTCTGATATTTAGAGGCTGCAAGGGCTGGACGCAGCCTCAGAGCGTGTCTGCGGCGCCGGTCCACGTCGTACCCTCTGCCCTGCCCTCCCTCCTCCTCCGTCCGATTCGAAAGCATAAACAGAAAATAAAAGACAGGTGGAGGGAGCTGAAGGTCAGAGGTGAGGCATTCAGGTCAATTCTGATGGGTGGGGACGAATTTCCATCCAACGGTCCTCCGTTTATTTATCTGTTTGGTTATCAGAGGGACCTTTGTGGAGACTCCCGGACTGGCCCGAACCTCTGGCTGCCACCTCCTGCCTTTTAGCGCCGAGCACCAGATTCTTGGGGGAAAACATCTGACATCTAGACACCAAGGTAAGATCCCGATGGGGCTCGCCGAGTGGGAGCATTTCCTGTGCCCGGAGCGCGCCCGGACGGCCAGGAGCTCCGGCGTCCCAGGAGCTCCCGGAGCAAAGCCCGGCTTTGCTCGGAAGCCAAGTCGGTGCCCGAGGTCCCTGCGGGACCAGCGGCTCCGACTGTCCCACCAGATGGGAGGAGGTCTTTGGGGAACCCGGCCCGCACTGCCCGGCTGACACGCGGCTTTTTTTTTCTGTCAGTACAACCGCCGTGAACAGCGTGATCAACTCCATTTGCTCTAAGAATGCTGAACGGCACCACTCTAGAGGCAGGTGAGTTGTAGACCAGGTTCCTTCTCGTTTTGCTCGCTCCTTTTCGTGCGCAGGTGTGCATATAGTGCGTGTGTGCACGCGTGAGCGTGCCTTCGTGGAGGCGAACGCAGAGAAGTGCGCATCTTAAAATGCAAACGCTTGCGAGGCTCGAATACAGAGTCTGGTTCTCACTCTCCCGACAGACCGGACTCCTGAAATCTGCGTTTTCTTCCTTTTGCTTTTTCCCTTGAATGTCTTTGACTTTCCTCAGGATACGGGTCCGGGGTCCCGAGCGCGGGCAGAGGTCACGGAGCCGCGGAGCCTCTGCAGCTGCGGGCGCGGGGACGCCCTTCCGACCCTCGCGGAGCGCGCTGCTGTGGGCGTCTCCCTGCTGGAAACCGTGGGAGACCCGCAGGAAAGCCTCCTTTTCTCACCCTTCTAGGGTTTGACTGGAAACTGCCTTCACGCACGTTTGTTGTTGTTCAGTCCTAATCCAGTGCAGCGCTTTTTGCGCGCGGCATCAGAAGAGCCGCGTAGGATTTACCCTTTATTTTTGGAGGGGCAGAGGGCCAGCGGCGCACCATGTCTCAGGCAGATTTCAGATGCGCGATATTGTAGACCTGGGGGCTGAGCTGCAGGAGGAAAACTCAGGGGCTAAGCAAGGCATAGACTTGAAGGCGGCAGGCAGCCGGGGTTAGCTTTGCGCACACGGAGGGTGTGTGTGGACCCCGAGCTGGTAGATGGACCCAAGGGGCCCCGACCCGGAATGCAGCGGGGCCAGCAGCTGTTAAAGGTTCCCAGCTGGGGTGCGGGCCGGAGTCACCCTCTCCAGGCAATCACAAACTCTCCTGTCCTGGCTCCTGGGAAGGCTTCCCAAGTACGTCCGAGGTGCGCCCCTGCAGCTGCACCAGACTGGATTTGCCAATTTTGGCTTGGGAAAGGTTTGTATATAGAGAAAATTCAGTCTCCACTGTGAGTGGAAGGCGCCAGTGCCTCTTGGCTGTACGCGCCTCTCCAGCCTAGTGGAGGCTCGGGACATTCAAAGCCGGTGGCGGCGCCACTAGCTCAGGAAGCTATCTCAGGCTTTGGCGGTTGCCAGAGTTGGGCTAAATTTCGGGCACTGTATCTTTCAGACCAAAAGGCCCTTCGTAGGGGCACAGGATTATGGCCTCTAAATTCATGTCTGATGGAAAGCAAACGTGAGTCACCTATGTTATCAAGAGATGCACATTTGCAGAGTTATTCCAAAGTGTCATCTGGTTGCTGGGCAAAGCCAAGCAAGCCTTTGCTTCCCCTCTGGGAAGTTTGACTGAGCCCGGTCACTTTTCCCAGGTGAAACTGCCTGGAATGAGGATGCTCCGGTCTCTCTTCTAGATTTTGGAAGTCTCGATCTAAAATCATCTATGCCCCTGGAGTTCAGCCTCTCTTGCTTTCCTGAAAGCGGCAATCATAGCCACATGGGTGCTGGTGAAGCAGAAAGGAAATAGAGCCCAGTGGATTGCATGTGCCTATTGCTGGAAATGATGCTTTAAATCCAGAGGGGAGACCCTCCCCCAGCCTACTCCTGCACCTGTCTGTCCCACTGAAGAGGATGGGACTTAGCCCTAGGAACTGTAGCGAGCACTCTGACTTTTATAGAACACTTGCAGGTCTTTCAGCCCCAATCTGGAAGATAGGAAATGCTTCCCTTCTCTAGCCTCAGCTTTTCCAATGGTGAAGAGAACGAGGGACGGAAACAAAGATGCTCACCTGATTTATAGTGCTTAGTGTCCTTTGAGAGTGAGGAGGAGGAGGGGGAGGGCTCTTAAGCAATCCCTCAGGATTCCACAGCAAAGAGGTTAGTTAGTACAACTCAGGCCACAGACCTAGTTCAGTTTGCAAGTCACCCCCTCCCCACACACCCACCCAACGCCTGGGGCTTCCTCTTGAGGAACTGATGTACTGGGGAACTATTTCCACAGCACTATCGAGACCTCCCAAACTCCAACGGACCTCGCCCCACACCCAGCTTTCCACAGACTTCCTTTCACTGAGCAGGAAGACCTGGCAGTTCCTTGCTTTATAGGAAGAAGCAAATCCCAATGGGCATATGGAACTTATAACTGAAGTTGTAGGAGAAAAAAGTCATAGCTAGGACTCAGCTGGGAAGCTGATTACATGTGGTATGGTGCCTAGTAGATGATTTTAAAATGTGTGAAATAGATGAACGACTGAATTGATTAGAAGGCTGACAGCACTTCTCTATTTTGCTTCCCTGAAGACTTCAGAAAGTTCTGACTTCTCCAAGAGTTATTTAAGCTTTCCTTTCAGGAAGTATTCAAAATTTCTTCTCTTATAAGGGAACAGTGGTGTTCCTCGTTGTTATTGTCTTTCTCCTCTTCTTCCTCCTCCTCCTCTTCTTTCTTCTCCTTCTCCTTCTCCTTCTCCTCCTTCTCTTCCTCCTCCTTCTCCTCCTCTTCCTCCTCCTCCTCCTCTTCCTCCTCCTCCTTCTCCTTCTTCTTCTTCTTCTTCTTCTTCTTCTTCTTCTTCTTCTTCTTCTTCTTCTTCTTCTTCTTCTTCCTATTTATGCTGAGCAAGACAAACATATAACCACTAAACTTAATTGTGAATACCTTATTTGAGAGTGGGACGGGGTTTAGCACAGTAACTGGACAAAGTGGCCTAAAGTCCTGTATTTACCTTTCCTCCTCCTCCTCCTTTTCCTCCTCCTCCTCTGCACTGAGTGAACTGCTGACTCCTATGCAGGCAATCTACCCCTTTGTGAGAGGACCTGCTGTCTCTGAAAGGGCTCCAGCCCTCAGCCCCTCCTTGGGGCCCTTCCTGTGTGCACGTGGGTTTGAAAAGCTCATTGATTTCCATCCAAAGGGGCTAATTACATTACTTACAGTAAATAGCCGCCCTGCTGTCAGGTAGGGCTGCCAAAATGGGAGGGGGGGGTCCTCCAGCTTAGTTCACTTGATTGGCTTCATTTTTGTGTGAAATTGTGTTTTATGAGCTGTATTCTGGCACCCAGAGGACCTTACAAGCGGCCAGTCTGCAAATAACATTATTTCTGAACCCGAGGAAGGAAAAAAAGGGGAGGGGGAGCAGTTGGGTCTTGGGTTTCACAGAAGAGGCAAATTCAGCAGCCTTAGACGAGATGGTTTGGGACGGGAAATCAGGCTGCTACATCACGGGTGGCTCGTCTCTTTCTCCCACTGTTCTGTCCTTCCTTCCTTCCTTCCTTCCTTCCTTCCTTCCTTCCTTCCTCTTCTCATTCTTACAGTTCCTTTTTTCTCCCTTCCTTTCCCCTCCTCTTTCTCTCCCTTGCTTCTCCTCTCCTTTCATCTCTATAGATTTGGCTACAGCTCCGCCTGGGGCTCCCCCGGGCGGAGGGAAGTGGGTCTGCCGCTGGGAGGCTGCTCTAAAGTTTTCCGGATGTGTCAGGAAGTAACCGTCAGTGCTCCTGGGCAAGTTGGCTGGGAATAGAGGGAAGAAAGGAGCAGAGAGCTTTCGGGCTTCCTTTTCTCTCTGGTTAAAGCAATGTTGGTTCCTGTCCCTGCGTCTGGATTCAGGCCCCCTAATGGGCCTCTGGCTGCTTGAATGAATCAACAATATCAGAGTATGGTGGACACTTTTTAACGGGGCCGGGAGGGGCTGCTGCTAACAGGAACAGAGGGCGACAGAATAATCCCACCTCTTGTGAGGACCGTTCTGCCATTCTGCTTGTCAGTTCTCACCTTTCCTTCCTCCACAACGAGGCGCCCCCTCACACCCTCCGAAGTGTGTGGGGGCGCCCCGTTTTACAAGTCCCTTGTCTTGTGAGGGTAGCAGACACAGCATTCCATGGGGCCAGTTCCTAGACCTACAGGGGCAGGTGCCAAGTTCATCAGTGCCCTGGAGTCCCTCCCCACGTTGAGGAGTCTCAAATGGGATACTAGAATCTCTAGCACTTTTCTTCAAACTTCCATAGGTGAGAGAATAAACGAGGATGGATAAGGTTCTGTTGCATAATCACAACTACAAGTCTAAGTCCTGTTCCTCTACTAATTTTTCTGATAAGAAAGTCCTTTCAGCAAAAGTATGGCCCAGAAAGGGAGGTGCTCCAAGCCCCTTTTTGGAGGATGCTAGGGAGTCTTTGAGGGTTACAGGCTCTCAGTGCGGTGAGGCAAAGAGACTAACTGAATCTTCAGCTGCTTTTAAAAAGTGAGTTGAAAGGCAGGGGATATAGCTCAGTGGCACAGCGCCTGCCTGGCAAGCACAAGGTCTTGAGTTTGATTCCTGGTACCAAAAATAAATAAATAAATAAATAGAGTTGAAGGAAAGATGATGGGGAGGAAAGGAAGACTCATTCAATTCTCCACCTTAATGAACAGCTTGACTCTCTGTCCAATCATTATATATTTTGAATGAGTCCTGTAGGCTGGGAATGAAAAGTCGACAAGGAGAAAACTAAAGTTTGGAGTTGATATTCCGTGTGCTCTAAGTCAGTGTGATCTTGAACTGGGATCAAATAGACGGGCTCTCTGCCTCCTGCGCCAGGGCGCACACAATAAAGACTCCTTTCCCCTTTTAAAACAAAGACTCCTTTCCCCCTTTAAAGCATGACTGCTGAGAACTCTTGGAAGGATATGTGGGGTGTGTGCGCGCGTGTGTGAGTGTGAGTGTGTGCGCGCGCGCGTGTGCGCGCGCCTTGCAAGCGTGCACACTCGGTATTGTGGGGAGGCAAATGCCCCCTCCTTCTGCCTCTCCCCTCCATCCCCCCACCCCTTTGTAATGTTTGTCCCTGCTTGCCCATCACCAGGGGGTTGAGAGGAGTATGACAGGTCTTTGTTGTCTGAGTAAAAATCCGTGGCAGCTCCAGGGAGAGAACTCCTCCTACTAAATTATCAAAAATGGGCTGGCTTTAGTCTCTTAACAAATTGGACACAGCTCCGGTAGGAGCAGTCCCCTACCCAACCCACAGGCACTGCGAACTTGCGAGCAGCCAGGGACCGCTGAAAATAGCACTTCGTTTTCTTTCTTTGTGTTCTAAACTATTTTCTTTCTTCACAAGATTTTTTGTGCCCCCCCGCCCCGCCCCGTGGCAGTTGTTTCCCATTAGTAACTCGATCTCTCACAGCAGAAAAGATTCTCCTTCTTCACCCGCTTTCCCCTTCGACCGGGTTGTTTTCTGTACATCTCCTTCTGGGGGCCGCTAGAGTTTTATCCCCTCCTCACCCCCCCCCCGCTTTTTTTTTTTTTTTTTTTTTTGCCTTTTCTTCCCCAAATAGACCTATTTCTCTCTGCCTGCCTCTTGCTTCTTGGCTCTCTTCCTCTTCTGCTCTGTCCCTGTGCTCCTCCACCGCGCAGTCCTCTGCGGTTCCGTTGCTCCTTCACTCGGATGAGCTGAGAGCCCCGGGCTTGTGTTTATGGAAATAGTGGGGTGCCGAGCAGAAGACAACTCGTGTCCTTTCCGCCCCCCAGCCATGCTCTTCCACGGGATCTCCGGAGGCCACATCCAAGGCATCATGGAAGAGATGGAGCGCAGATCCAAGACCGAGGCCCGCTTGGCCAAAGGCGCTCAGCTCAACGGTCGCGACGCGGTAAGGACCGGCCCCGCGCCGCAGTAGCCCGCCGCCCTGCGCGCTCAGTTACGCGGAGCTTGGCTTCCCGGGCCCGCCGCGGTTAGGGATGGAGGGCTGCGGGGACGACTGCTGAGGGCGTCCGCTGGGTTTTCTCCCTTCTACCCAAGTCTGCGCTAAGGTTCCTTCTCTGATTTCACGCCTAAACTCCCCAAACCCCAAGCTCGCTACCCTCCCTAGCAACTGTTGGGTAGCAAGCTGGGTGGACAGGAGCGGGAGGAGAGGGCCTCCTCCTAGGCAAATCTCAAACTCCAGCCTCCAACCTCTTAAACTGCCGAGCCTCCTCGGCAGGGTCCCCAACCCGAGCGCGAGCGGGGCGCATGCAGTGAGAGAGCCCCTTGCAGTCGGGGCGCCCGAGCCACGCAGGAGCCGGGTGTCTTAGTCTCTGGGCCTGAGGCCTGAATTTTTGGAGTGAACTTCACGTCACTGGTCCATTTCTAGTTCTCTGAACGTTTGGGGTTCGGCGTCTCAAACCCAGAGATTTCCAGGCTTTGACACCTCAGTTTTGCCTTGAGTTCGCGGAGAGGGGGAAATCAAAGAAAAATTGCAGAGGAGCGGGGCACTTACTCCAAATGCAAGAACTTTCTAATCTTTAAATGTAGTAATCAACTACCACTATTACTTATTCATAACAGCGAAGTCGTGTCCTCTTAAAGAATGCGCAGTATGCTTCTCTCTTCCACTCTTGAGCCGGAGAGAGAACTACCCAAGTCTCCGGAAATGACTCCAGCTTTCAAACAGTGCTGTGGGCACAGATGCTCTGGTGTTTCCAGGGGAACTGGAGCTCAGACTCACCCAGGAGACTACTTTAACCAGGTCTTGAGGGGCCAAATAGCCCACTGGGTAGATGTGCCTCCCTTTTGTGACATTAATTCAGTGCAGGTATCGAATTCGCATAAAGCAAAACTTTACTTCCCTGGGCCGGTCAAAATTTCTTGAGGAATTCCAACCCATTTTGGGTAGATGTGAGGGAAAAGTTTAGGGATTAACTTGTTTCCCCCTTTGTGATTATCCTATTTAAAAACAAGAGGCAGCAGCCGGGGCTGGGCTCTTCAAGGTGAGATGCGCCGTCCCCCCTCGCCTCCGTGGGATCCCACGGGAAGCTTCGTTTCCGCACCAAACGAGGTTTTTCAGGACAAGGATTTTCCTGTTTACGCTGATGCCTGGCAAAGAGGCGCTGCGCTGGAGAACTGGACAATGGTCCATCTTTCGGACTAGCCACTTTTTACACTCTTACGAGGGAAGGAAACAACAGCCTTGAAAATTAGTGAACAGAAGGATCTGGCTCTTATATCTCAATCAAAACAATGCCGACCAAATTATGAGCACCGATGTAATGCTTCGTTTAATTTTATTTTAACGCCTTCTAAACAAAACTAAAGAAAGAATTCTAGATTTTTCTGTGAAAAATTTTTGAGCTAGTTCAGATTGCCTTTCCCCCAATAACGATACTTTATGTATTTTTGAAGCCACAATATTCAGCTTATAAGTACTCTAATTTTGGGAACACCCATTAAACTATTATTAATAGGCGATCTGTCTTTCATGAGCAAGGATCAGAAAGAAAGTCGAGATGTCTTTAGCCTAGTATCTGAAGGATTCAATCGCGGGTTCAGAGAGACACGGAGGACTGAGCTGCAAAGAAGAAACTACCAGGTTTACCAGTTAGCCTCTGCGCTGTGGCTGCGGCCCTTGGCGCGGTCCCCTTGCGCGCTGGGCTCGCACTGCCCAGGGGGATCCCGCGTGGTGCGCGCGCTCTGCTCTCTTCAGCCACGCGTGTGCTTGCTTTGCAGGGGATGCCTCCGCTGAGCCCGGAGAAGCCCGCTCTGTGCGCGGGGTGCGGAGGCAAGATCTCGGATAGGTACTACTTGCTGGCCGTGGACAAGCAGTGGCACCTGAGGTGCCTGAAGTGCTGTGAATGTAAGCTGGCGCTGGAGTCTGAGCTCACCTGCTTCGCCAAGGACGGTAGCATTTACTGCAAGGAGGATTACTACAGGTGAGGGCTCCCCCGCGCAGCGCTCCTCACTCGGAGTGTGCAGCGCCAGACGGTTAGCCCGGGTTCAGTCTTCTCTGTGCCCCACCTTTGAGTAAGGTTGTCCTTCCCGAGGCCGGGGAAAGTCACTGCTTTTGACATCTCACGCGGGTGGTGAGGGGGCTTCCAAGGTTTAGACTGCTCCCAGCTCTGTTGCCAAATTCTGGGGAAAAAAATCTGAGGAAGAGTAAACTAACTGCGGACGGGGACTGGAGTCCCGTTCCTCCTACCCTCCCCCGCTTACTGCGAAATGAGCAATTTAGGAGCCTGAAAACCGAACTGGTGCCCAGACAGGAGCCAGTGGACGGGTTGGGGGGCAGCTGACCTTATAAAGGTCTAGATTCAGAGTCCTCTTTCCTGTTAGTTTGCACCAGACCAGAGAAAAAACTCAGCTGCAGGAGGGCTTGTTGATTCTTCTGGATTGGGAAAGACAGAGCTATGTACAGGTGATCTAACTGCACTCTCGGTGGACATTAAAGAACGACCTTTCCTCTACAATACTGCTGCTACCTACCCAGGGTTGGTTGTTTTGAGGCGCATTCCAACCTTTAGGTCTATCTTCCTTCACAGAATATTTTGTAGTTAAGGAAACTGTTCACTTTGGCATTGCAATTTAATGTATTCAATAGCGCTGTGAATTAGATACCGTGGGGTAGTTTTTGAAAAAACATTTTTGTAGAGAAAGAAAATGAAGCCCAGCATCCAGGTCTTTCTTTACTGTAAGGATATTTGCCCTGGTGCTCTAGAATCCGAAGAGGTCAAATGAGCAAATAAAACTAATGTGCAACGTGGGCCCAAGTGTCTGGACCTTCTCGAACCCTCCCGTCTCAATCTTTGGCCGCGGCAAACCAAGCCCAGGTATTGCGCAGGCGGGACATGGCCTTCCTTGCGTTGATCAGAGCCCTGACTCTTTGGTTTCCTTCCAGAAGGTTCTCTGTGCAGAGATGTGCCCGCTGCCACCTTGGCATTTCTGCCTCCGAGATGGTCATGCGCGCCCGAGACTCTGTCTATCACCTGAGCTGCTTCACCTGCTCCACCTGCAACAAGACTCTGACCACGGGCGACCATTTTGGCATGAAGGACAGCCTGGTGTACTGCCGCGCCCACTTCGAGACCCTCTTGCAAGGAGAGTATCCCCCGCAGCTGAGCTACACCGAGCTGGCGGCCAAGAGCGGCAGCTTGGCTCTTCCTTACTTCAACGGCACCGGCACCGTGCAGAAAGGGCGACCGCGGAAGCGGAAGAGCCCGGCGCTGGGAGTGGACATCGTCAATTACAACTCAGGTGGGTCCCTGCCCCTGCATACCCGCTGCAGCCACCGGACAATCCAGTCCCTTGCCTGTCCGAGATCTGACTGCAAGAGGATGCTATAGCCAACGTTCTCACTCTCCTCAGTGTGGAGAAAGAAGGCAGAGGGAAAGGGACACAGGGAATGAGACCGTCATTTATTGAGGTTATGGCAAGAAACACATTGGAAACCACTGGGCCACGGAGACTTCCCCCAAACAGACCGAGCCTGGTTGCCCATTAGTTAATGAGCCCATTAGTTTCTGGCTCCCGGTTGGAGCAAAACAGCCTCAGGCCAATTCCTTTGTAGAAGCCAAATTATAGATCCAGGAGGAGATTTTCCTAAACACTGATGGGGGTGGGGAGGGACTTCAGAGCCCAACCCCAGTCTGTCTAGAGTGGGCAGAGTTCTATTCACCAGCCTAAAGTTAATCAGCAACACAGTTGGCAAGAGTGTTGAAAAACCGAATCCCTGATCTTGTCGAAAAGCTGTGGTAGGGGCAGGAATCTCTCCACTGCTGAGCTGGCCTGTGCCTCTGGTAGGTCAGGTATTCCTCCAGCTGACTCGTTCCTCATATAACAGAGCATCTGGACATCCAGACCTCAGCTAGTTGACAGAGACTCTCAGCCCAGCCTACTGAGGAAGCTTAGTGGGGTCTCACACTGCTCTTTTCTCCAATATCCTTCTCTTAATTAAAAACAAAATGCAGCAATATAGCCTGAGAGTACACTTTCTCCCTCACTTTAGGGAACACACCTATCATTGACCAATCCGTGTCACACCCCTTCATCAATTTCCTACTGTCGGGTAGGGTAGCCAGTTTCCACTTTCCGTCTCCTAGGTAAGGGTGTGGACAGGCCCTGAGGACCATCATCTTACTCTAAGAGAGAAGTTCTTCTGGTGAATCCCAGTCCTTGGGAAAAGAGTAAAAAGCCCTGGCTCACTTTGGGGAGCTTAGGGACCTTGACTGCCCCTTGACAGGTGCTCTGGCCAAGACCTGTCTAGAATCTCAACAAGCAGCAGGAGATGCAGACCAGGAGAGACCATTCTATGGAAAAGGACTTGGGAACCACTTTACTGTAACAACTCTACTGTCACTCCCATGAGTTCTCCAGACATCTTGGCCAGGCTTGAGTACCCTACAGCACATAGCGTGCCTATTTTTCTCTTTCAGTCCCCAAGGCCTGGCATGGTGCATGATGTTGTTGCTGAGTGATAAAGGAATAAATAATGTCTAGCCAGTTAAAGATCCACCTGAAGTCACACTGCCAATGCGAATGGAGGAACTAAGAATTCTACTCTAAAGTGGAGAGTTTTCAGAGCTAGCCCATAGGATAAGCGAGCCTCTCCCCTAGGTTCTGTCTCTTCTGAATCAAATGGTTTGATTCTGGGCAGCCCAAGGAGGTAACATCTTCAGAGTGGAGATGCAGAACCCAGCAAAACTACATTTGCCCTTAGCAGGTTCATGCTGGAGTGGCCCGGATGAAGAGAAAAGGGTGGACAGGCTCCACACAGTCTATCTAAAGGCAGTAGGCATAGTCTTGAGTTTTTCCAACCCTGGGCAGAGGCACCACAGCAGGGAGTGTTGGTGGCCTTTTCCCTTCTCCTTGGCTCCTGCTGTGCTGGGACAGTGCCTTGGTTAGGGGCCACTTTGCACAGCACACTTACTTCATCTCCTTTGATGCATGGTCCCCAGGGCAGGACAGGCAGGGTACTAATTGTTCTTTATTAATAGAAGATGACATTGGAATGTCAAGCCACTCACCAAGGCCTTAATGCCAGAGAGAGGGGTGGGGGCAGAGACAGAGTGAATGAGATCTGCACCCTGAGTCCTTTGGAGGGGGCGGATCTCTCAGTCTGATAAAAGTTCAGGAGGGTGGATGTTTCTAGCCAAACTGCAGCCAAGCCTGGCTTTTTGCCTGTTTATTTAATCTAATTAGCTAAATTTGATTTTTTTTTTTTTGCCTTGGATCTTATGTTAAAAAGATCCAAGGGGCTTTAAGGACAATATAATTCTCTTCTTTTCTCTTCTCTGAAGAGAACTAGAGTACAAATTTATTTCTTAAGAAGAATGATGATCTCCTCCTGAGCCTCTTCAACCTCTGCTGTGCAAACTAATGCTGCCACAAGTTGCTGAGCAAGTTGATGTCTTGCTTGACATAGAGGGGAAAGTTGCCCAGGGCTGCCTAACCTGAAGAATTTGTGCATTGCTCGTTCCCTATAACCTTTTAATTAATGTTCACACCACCCTTTCTGAACTTTTCCCAGAGATATAAGTATATACTATATATTTCTCTAAGATTAGGCCAAACATAATCTAGAACAATTGCTTGACCAGATACAATACCATTTTAAGAGTGTTATAAATCCACTGTCAGGTTATTATAAAACTAGGGAAACCTTTCATCAAATTAAAAACATTAAAATACAGAAACAAAATGGGCCCATTTTCATTATTTTAATGCATTATTTTAGGCATCTTTGGATTTTATACTGCCATTTCTGTTTTAATATAAACTAGTCTCATAAAGGGTACCATTGATATGAAACAAAACATACTTTACATAGTGACATGTTTTCAAAAGTGTGCACAAAACAGGTTTATAATTTAAACAGTCTCAGAGATGTGAAAATTGATGGAGTTCAGATTAGTTCTTAAAATAAGGCAAGTGTTCTTAATGCGAATGTCCCTAATGTAGTTTACACCTCTGTGCAGATTAATCAAGCAGTATTTTAGAAAAAGACATGGAATGTTTATCTGGAATACCAGATTGAAATAAAGCTGTTCACAGTGAGAAGATTTAGTCTAAGATAGACATATTATAATGACATTAATTAAGAGACTCCCTTTTTGCCACTTCTCAAAATCTTTCCGTAGGATCTTTCCACCCCAACTTTTAAGTGCCTGGTTGTTGTTAAATTAGCCTGGCACTGACCCCTAGTGGTCTCACTGGAATCATTTAATTCTCAGAAGGTTAACAGACCTTTAGAAAGAACCCTTTTAGTTACATGACTGTCTTGTGTCTGAAAATAAACTTTTTAAATCTTATTAATTTTAATAATGTCAAAGGTGTACTTGCAGGTGGAACTTTGAGACAATTTAAAAAGTTATTTGATCTCTTAATTCAGAGGAAAATACCTCTAAAGCTTTAGAAATTCTGGATTATAGGGACACACTTGATCATTTGCAAGTTTACTTAATGCATTTGTAGCTAAACCCAAATAATTTAGAATGGTGAACTGAATTACTTGGTGGAAAAAAATATATTTTCCTATGCAGTTGTGTGATATAAGTGATAATACAGCCGCATGAAAATTTTATATAGTAAGATCTGTTTAATAAAGATCTAATGACCTATCTTCTTACACACTGAATTTTATATTTCATGTGGAAATGGGTCCTCTAATTCTACTTAAGGCACTACAATGCTTCACTAAGTTTTAAATCACCAATAATTGATAGAGTACATATTCAGGAAAGCAGTGTATCAAATCTTACTGTAGTTACTTTTCATAAAGTCCATTTTAAAGACCAATGATTACATAGCTAGGTTGGGAATCATATTAATTTCTAAGAAATATTACCATGGGGAAGGAGGAATGGGTCAGGGCATTGTTTAAGCACTGCACTAAGGTTTTTGCCCTGAGTGTAATATACTCAATTTGATGTGTTGTTCCGGAAAAACTGCTCACATAAAATAGGAATGAAATCTTATTTGAAGAAGTCTTGATGGCTCATGTGTGCCTCTTTGACTATTTTGTACTGGGCATATTTATAATCTGGCTGTGAAATATGGCTCAGTTTACCAGAGATAAGTATAGTTTTATAGTATGCTATGAGATATTGTTTCAACCGTTTGAGAATATGAAAGCACAATTCTGTAGACTATTTGAACTTGACATATTTTCCCTGGTTTGAAATAGGAAAAAATGTAAAATATATTATCTCTGTTATCTCTGGGTGTATGTTACTATTTCTGGTGAGTGAAAAAAAGCCTTTGTTTGAATATAAACCTCTAAAGTAGATTCCATTTCAGTTTGGTTTGATATTGCATCAATATTCATCTGTAATTTTATTGAGGAACAAAGGGTTTAAATCTCAATTGAATGCTTGTTGCATTCCTGGCTCTGTGCTTGACTTGGGGGGGGGCCCAAACATAATATGATATAGTCTTTTCTCTCAAAAAACTCACCTGCTCTTTGCTAAGTGTATGTCTTCCCATTTACTCATCTTATAGAAACATTAACTAAGGAAACATTCATTCATGCTTAGTCTTATTACATTAGGGAGAATTTCTTCTTTAGTGAGTTTTGTATGTGACTGATTTCTTGGTTAATGATTAGAAAACATATATATATTGATTTTCTGGATAGTTTTAAAAGGTAATGCTAATCAGGCCATAGAAGGCAGATAACACTTTACTGAGCAATATAGGAGAGCCTGATTTTTTTTCAGTATTCAAGTTTTTCCTTCTGCTGAATGACATGATAAGGTTAATATTAAATAATGCACTGAAAGGGAGGGTGACCAGTTATGAATATGCATCAGATAAATATAAAAAGTATAAGTTTAAACAAAACAATGATATGGCCTGGAATTTGCAAAGTTGACTGAATTAGGAAGTAGTAAAATATTTAGCAGAACCAGTAAGTTCAGGGAAATGACCATTTAAATGTACAACTTTATCCTGGGGATAACGACTTTTTAGCTGCTTTCAAAAGCTGATTTGCTTTGCCTTTGTTGCCAAAGAGGGCTTTGGGAGAGGAGAGAAGACACTGTCCTCTCTGCCAGACTAGCCAGTGGCACAGCTCGCATCCTACTCATGTGTATTCAGAGAAAAGGGGCCAAGATCTGAGCCTAAGCACCATCAGTGTCTCCTGTGAGCTGTAAGGAGTGCTTCAGGCATGATTCAAGAGAGAAGAAGGTGGGACTCATTCTCTTTAGAAATATTTATTAGGATAACTCCAAGGAAAAAATATTTTCTCCCTGTATAGCCCTGTGCTAATCTGTTATAGTTAGGAGCCCTGAAACATATTTTTATGCTTTCATAAGAAATTCAAAAATGTTTCTCACATTTCCCTTTTTTCTAGTCCTTTTTAAACTTTTCCTGATCATGAAAATTATAAGAAAATGAGAAAATGCTAAAAATGGGAACTGGTGTACATTCTCTTACAGTTGGTGGGTTCTCACAAATTTCAAAGTTGAGGGCTGAAATACTTGTTTGACACATTCTACATGAGAAACAGCGATGCCTTCAGACAGTCCTGTTCTAGAAACACAGACAAAATTTAGAGACATAAAAATGCCGTATGAATGTGGGCGTGGGGTGCTGACATACATAAGTGTATTAGAAAAGGATTTCTTTCTTTTCTCTTGGAGAGTCCTCTCATTCTACTTCCTGCTTAAGATTTATTCACTTTCCCAACATTGTCTACCAATCTTTTAAGCAAAAGAAAAATACTGATCTAGTATTTTTTCTATTTTACAAACTCTAGTTGTGTCTATATTAACTGACAAGATTGCCTGACTCTGGCAATTAACACCTTTTTGTCTACATACTATTCATAATTGGGATGACAGTCTTTTTCTCTGTTGCTTTATTATCATAGTGGAATCATTCAGTTAGTGCAGGGATCTCTACTGAGCTGTTGTTTCCTGTTACTGCAACAGGTTGTAATGAGAATGAGGCAGACCACTTGGACCGGGACCAGCAGCCTTATCCACCCTCACAGAAGACCAAGCGCATGCGAACCTCTTTCAAGCACCATCAGCTCCGCACCATGAAATCCTACTTTGCCATCAACCACAACCCAGATGCCAAGGATCTCAAGCAACTTGCTCAGAAAACAGGCCTGACCAAAAGAGTTTTGCAGGTAAGACACCGCTTCATTGGCTGTGCATACATTTCCCTTCCCCTTGCCAGTGAATAGCTCTCTTCCCCATCAACTTGATGTGGATATTTCTTGTTCTACTTCTTATTAGTTTATCTTAGTTATTTCCTTAGAGGGCGTGCTGAGATTTTGCAGGGGCCTGCGGAGGGGTACTCAGAGAGAGAGAGAGAGAGAGAAAGACAAGGTCTTTTAAGATGCAGCCACTTTCTCCCTACAGATAGGGAGAGGGTCTCCAAAGCCAGCACAACTTGCTTACTGCTGTGCAAATTCAAGTGATTGTGATTTGCACAAGTTCTAGCTCTAGAGATTCCCGGGCACAGTAAGCTCAGGGCGCCAGTATATGAGGTATCTGCTGGCACTATCATACTTCAGGATGCCTTTGGCAGCCTCACCCAGATGTGATGATCTTCTAAATTCAGGTGGACTTTTCCCTCCCCTAACTCTTGAAAAGCCAGAAGTATAGTTAGCATCTAGGCAACCAACTGAAGCAAGTTTTCCCTTTTTAGCAAATCATACTTAAAAACTGGGAGTTCTGTTGTCCAAATGCCTCCCCGAATTTATTGTGGTAAAACTATACAATGGTGAAATTATAAAGGCTTGGTTTGAGTCAGCTGTGATCAAATTACAGCTGTTTTATATTTTACTAAGTTGTCTCTGGCTGTTTTGAGTCTTTTGCCTGGGAAGATTTACCTCCTTTTGTAGCTTAAAACTTTTAGTGATGTTCACATAAGCAGTTTTACCTTGCAATTCTTCTAGTGCCCATCTACCTCTCATTCTCAAAAGACCACTGTTGTGGAATCAGGGTGTATTTCCTCCGCATATCTCTGTGCCTTTATTTCCTGTTATCTCCATCATTTAGTTCTCAGTTGTCCCAAGTGGCTCTTTTTAATGCTGATGTGATGACCTTCCAAACCGGCTGGGGGGGAGTATGTGCAGTGGAGAGAGGAACACCTCTAGGTTTACTAGAATTTCTCTGTTTTAAAAGACAGGAAAAAGTCCTTTCCCTCCCGAGGACAATAAGCAATTATATTTAAAAGGAGAAATATCTCAAAAAAGAGAAAAATAGGAAAAAAAAAAAAAAGGAAGAAAGAGAGAAAACAAATATATAAAAATAAACATCGGTAAAGAAATCAATTGGGATTGGTTTGCAGGTTTGGTTCCAAAACGCACGAGCCAAATTCAGAAGGAACCTTTTGCGGCAGGAGAATGGGGGTGTTGATAAAGCCGATGGCGCGTCGCTTCCGGCCCCGCCCTCAGCAGACAGCGGAGCTCTCACTCCACCCGGCACTGCGACCACTTTAACAGACCTGACCAATCCCACTATCACTGTAGTGACATCTGTGACCTCTAACCTGGACAGCCACGAATCCGGAAGCCCCTCACAAACTACCTTAACGAACCTTTTCTAACATTGGTTAATTTTTTTTAAACTTTTCCTCTTCTTTTTTATTATTCTAATTATTATTATTTTATTATTTACAAGACTTTTTTTTTTCCCTTCTAACCCATAAACTATTTGGGGAATAAACAAGCTTGGTGTGTAGCATCTGCAGCCACTTGGCAAATGAGTTTACAGCATTGTCTCCTTTAAGTAAACATAGTTTGTCTACAAAAGTGTATTTGGATTTTTTTTCTTTAATTAGGTTTCTTAGTCCGCGACTGGAGGTTTTGAATCATTCTAATAAGTGCCTCTTAAAATTGTATGTTACTTATTTCCAGAATCTCGAAGAAAAAAAAGTTGTATTATAAGCAACTAGTCATATTCCCGCTTAAGTGATTAGAACAATTAACCAGATAATTAGTTATTTTTAAATCTTTTAACTGTATGTATGATTATGGAACTTTGAAAGGCCCACATTTTAAAAATTTTAAGCCTGAGAAAAATTTACTGCGCATTCCTAATTTCTTACTTGAACTATTAGTTCGAATGAAGACTGTGATTTAACAAAGACAATAATAGTAATTTTAAATAGTCATGATTAACTAGATGGGAAATCTATTCCAGAAATGTGACTTTTCCTTTTCTTAAGGATTATGTAGTAATTTCCTTTTCAACATTTAAAAAATTAAACTCCTTATGTATCCATGAAAATTCCAATTAGAATTTACAGTTCTATACTTTGATCTGCAAAAGCTAAAAAAGAAAACAAAAACCACCTAACAACAAAATCTTAAATGCTCTGAAATTCTTTTTTCCACCTTATTTTTTTTCCTAGGGAAAATGGAAATAAGCAAAATATAATTTTTTAAGAAGTCAAAAAAATTTGGTATGCTTTAATTAATAACTATTAATTGGCTTCAGCTGTACCATAATATTGTCTCTGACATGCTATCTGAATAATTTTTTAAAAACTTAGTAAAGTAACACAAACAATGATAATTCTTCGGCTGTGTTTTGCTTTATTTTATTTTTGGCATATGTTGGTTTATATATTATATATAAACTTTTCTGACATTAGAGAATTGAAATGAGTCTTAAAGTAGATAAACTCAGAAGCCTTGTGGATGCTGATCTGAATATATTTCCTAGTTTACAGTAGCATTTTTTTCCTTTTAATTTAAGGTAAACTCTTAATGGTCTGGGCAGTGGTGAATGTTCATCTATATGCTTCTGTTGTAGTTAAATACCAATTAGATCGTGGATTTCCTAAAGAAAAAATAAAATAAAAAAGAAGTCAAGATATATGTCTTGCTTTAGTGGATTGTTAAGAATAACTTTGCACATATTCTACACTTTTTTGGACTCCTTAAATCTCCTCTGGTGGTCTAGATGGCTATTTAATAGGTTTTAAAAGTATCCTCTGGCTGTATAAATGTGTGGTTACATATTGACAGTTCACTGCCCACATTAAAGTGCATTATTGTAACTTTTGCTCAGGGTCTTTAGAAAATTAGCACAGAAAGTAGCTTATTTTTAAAAAAAAGATGATGGAAGATAAGTTAACACTGTAACAGAAGAAAGGTGTGATTGCCATTATATATTTAGCAAGTGTGGTTATCATCTTATATGGAGCTTAAATCTTGACTTTTCATATTTCTATTACATTTTGGGCATTTACCACTAACCAGACCAAACAACCTTGATAAGGCTGAGATCTTATTAATACACTTTTACAGGTAAAATACTGATACTTATAAATTTTGTTCTTTGACAGAACAATATATGGTACTATAGATCTACTTTATTAAGTAGACTAATTATAACTCAGTTCTCCTATGTGCCTTATGATATAACTTGGAAGTAAGTTTGTGAAAATCAGGATTATATGTGTTGTTTGTTAAATTAACTGTTTTAAACCCTTTTGACACCTCACTAGTTTTGTACTGTTTTACCTCTTATTTCTGAAACTCTTTTTATGGTGTATCCTGTTAGAGGGGACAAAACATGTCATAGAAAGCAGTTGTGCACTCTTTCAAATATAGTTGATAAATTCAATAATCTTATATATTGAGCTTCGTGTTTATAGTACAGTAAGTGGTCTAGCAAAATTGTCCATGTTTCTTTGTTTATTGATAAATGCATTGTATAGAAACTATTTCCCCTAAATATTTATGGACCAAACAATTGTGATATATCCTATTAAATTTGTGTGAATAAACCATTTTGAATCTAAGGACTTTTATTTTCCATCAGTTTTATTTAAATTTTACTGATTGTAGTGTCTTTTTGCTATCTATATGTAAAAGATATTAAAATGATAGTATAATTTTTTAATGTTCAAACATACAATAGTTTTAGATTTCCAGACTTCGGATTCATATGAACTGCACACACCATTGCATATGCAGTGCCATCCCATCTTGAATTACCTTTAAATATATTTGTTTATAACAAAAGTAATGCCCCACCAACTTGACTCACTCCAATTTTCAGAATAAAAAATAAATTTAGCAGATAAAGTAATTGCATGAAAAGAAATCATAAATATGATTAAGAGTTATGTTAGGTCTATTTAGCAGAAATGAATATTTGTAAGTCTAAATAGAAATTGCAGACCCCTAAAAGCCAAGTTGCTCTGTAGTTAATAAATTGTCACTATGATTTTTTTCAGGGAGAACAAATCTTGGGGCATTACAGCCAAACATCCCGACGTTTGAAAATTCCCTAAAGTATTAAAAGAAGGGGAAAAGTTTGATCGGAAATCCACTGCAGTGAAGACAAAGACACTATTAGGTTATGATAATCATACATCTAAAATTATTGAGCCAAAAAAAAACCATTAGAGAGAGAGAGAGAGTGAGAATGTCATTTACTGAATGTTCTCAAAACTTCTGTTCTTTATGATGTTTAACACAGATGAAGGCTTAAAAGTATGTGATTTTTTAAAAAATTAGATAAACTATGTATAAACCAGAGCAACCTGGCAGTTAATATGCCCACTCCATATTTGGAGAAAACTATTATGGAAAAAAAAATCCCACACATTTGTCAAGCACAATAGCTGTAAAATAAAGTCCAGAAACACTCATCTCACCTGCTTGCTAATGTGTATTAGTCCTATCTGTTAATGGCATTTTCCAGTTGTAAATTCAAAGAAAAACTATCATTCATTTAAGAGTATAGGGACCAAAATGCAGTAATTTTAGTATTATTGTTTATTATTCCCTTTTTAAACAGAAGTCTCTGCATGCACTTTTACATCTGTCACTTCTAGTGTACACCTCTGTAATGATGACTTATCTTTGCTGTTTCTTGTATGATAGCTTTCATTAATAAACATTTTATTTGATTGCAAAAATAGTTAACTTTATGTTAAACACACACTGTTGAAATTAATTTTGAACACTGTCTTAAAGAGGCAGCACTGTACATTTACAATTTGTTATACTTAGAAAAGAATTCAAACAATACAATGAGGTAAAATTGTAGTCTAGAATGAAATTACTTGGTTTTCAACTTTCATGACTTATTTTTTATATTCAATTGATACATGAAAAATAAAAATGTAAACCAAAATTACAACAAAAATAAACCTCAGAATAAATTATTGTGTAAAATTTCAGCAACTTTTTTAGATTATTAGGATAAAATATGTAGATCCTGTATGAGTTTACGTGTTCACTATGCAATGAACAAATTTATTGAAGTATACAAATATATTCTGAACTATGAAAAGATCCAGTCTTTGTATGGTTCACATTACACTGATATTACAAAGGAGCAGGTGGAAAGAAAAATCACGTAGGAATGAGGTTTTTTTTTAATTGTTAAGGAAATATTTGAAGAAAGAATTTTTTAACTATTCCTGTTCAGCTGTATATCCAAAGCATATGTTAAACAAATTGACATACTTTCCAGAAAATTTTTCATTATGATAAAATCTTTATTATATACAAATGAACCCTATGTAAATGATGTAACTTTTATGAATAACAGACATTAAATATTTCACTTACATATATTCTCAGAATTTTGAATGTTTTTTTAAATGTTTTCTCTTCCTGGATACTAAATAAAAAAAAAAAAAAAAACCCCAGTAGGGAGAGAGGCAGCTTACTGCTACTTCTGCTACAACTAAAGAACAATGCACCATGACAAGTAACTGTTTTGAGTGATCATGGAACATGTTGGTTTTGTCAGTAACTTGAATGTTTATGCCTCATTGAAACCTCGTCCACGGCTACAGCAACATAAACAGGGTTTCCAGTGGATTTTCAACCAGTTTATTCACATCTTTGTCTTACAACCTTTGCCTTCCTTTCTTGTTCGGTCACCTATGGCAGTTTCATTTAGAAATATTTTGGAATCTCGCCTAGCATTACAGACCTTTAAATATTTGTCTGGTATGTGAAATGTGGGAAGAGACCAAAGAGGGAAAGAACACAACTGAAATTAGATCTTTTAAAAAAAAATAATACAATTCGAAACAGACACATTTTAAGGAGAGGAAAGGAGCACTGATTATGTACGTGGAAAAGGCAGATCTTGTGAGGCGGAATTGGACGGTTCACCAAGCTTTCCCATGGAGTACAGCAGTCCTTGAGGCCGGGCAACTGCGAGCTTATTGTCTGGCATAGAATGGAAAATGTGAACTTCTTAGATGGACGCAGGGCATCAAGTTTTTATAGCTTCTACCTCCCAAATGCCTGTGTTAGTCTAACTTCTAGAAAAAAAAGTTCTACTAAGAGTTAGTGTCTGTGAGCTTTGGTTGAATAGCATTTACAGGTTGATTTACATAGGGAGAAGATTTTCAATACCTCACATAGGATAAAACTTCATAATAGAAACCAAAGCAAACACCCTTGAAAGCTCAGTGATTTCTCATTACCCAGAAAATACATAGCTTTATTTAACAACCCCAGTGGAATCTACATTTTTTTGGAGTCAAAACATTTTTTAAAAAAAATTAACCACATATGGTGGTGTGCCTGCAAAGTGTGTTTTGGTGGAAGGCATTAGAAATGAGCAGTTCTGAAGCGGACATTTGAACTCAATGTCATTCTAGGCTCTTAAGGAGAATATTAGGGATAACGTAGTTGTAAAAATAAATATAAAATGCCTAATTTTGTATGGAACTTTGCTGTTTAATTTTTAACTACATTACAAATGAAGTAAGCTTAACTTATAGAGAGTGCATACTTGCCAAGTAATTCAATACATTTTACATTTTATGGTATCAGACAACAGAGGACATTAAGGAATCTAGGATTTAGTTTAAATTGGAAGAAAAGCCAGGGATTTAGCTCAGCCCGACCAGCGCGAGGTTGTGAGTTTGATCCCTGGTATCAAAAAAATAAATTGGAAGAAAAAAAATGCCACTGTATTTTCTTTGGACATAGATAAATTCTAGATTGGCTTTGGTGTGGATTTTTTTTTTTCTATTTCTGGTGATAGGAAATCAATTTTGAACATTGAAATTAAATAAAACCCTGATGCAGGATCATTTACAGTGTCAAAATAAGTTATTTTCTTTACAATTTGTTATTGCCTTTAAGCATTTTAAAAATCAAAAACTTTACTTCTATTTTTTAGGGTATTAAGATTTTTCTGTATTTTAAAAATAAGTTAACATTCTAAGTTACTATATTATTTTGAACATCTTCTTGGATGACTTCCATTTCATTTTTACCTAGTTCCCTAGCAAACAAACAAAAACAAATAAAAAGGTTCATAGCTGCATGATAATCAAGGAAATTTCTCAGAGTATGATGTGAGTAGCAATGTTATTGCTTCAATTCGTTTTCTTTTTAACTGTGTAGAAAAATAGATATTTTTCTCTGTGAATATTAACATAGTTAACCCTCCTTTGCCATGTATCACATCAAGTTTCTCTTCCCTTGGGTTATTAATTTTTGCTTCTTTGCAATACATTTTATCTTGTGCTCAAATGACAAAACACATAAGAATAAAGATCCAGGTATTAGCCATATTAAGAAAGTTCCTGGTGTGCATTTCTCTGTACTTTTTCCTTACATATTAGAACTGTCAGGAATGTTTCTTTCCTTTGGAACTTTCTGTTTACATCTTGCATGATCTTATAAATTGATCTGAAGCGTAACTGGATACATTTTATGGTTATTTGAAAATAAAATTTGCTACAAATAAGATGTTCCTGTCTCTATTGCCTCATAGTGTACAGGAATATATTCATTTTTGCTATACTGTCACATCAAATCAGAAAATATTAACCTCAGAGGATACTTAAATTGTTATTTATAGCAAACACATGAGATGAAGAAATGTGAATGAATTTGCCTTTACTTTGTCATTTGCATTCGGCTTCTCTTTGTTTTTCAAAGCAGAATAAATCATGAAGTGTTATTGGCTTTAACTCTGACATTCAAGGGCTTTGACAACTTTTATTGCTTAAATTTTTTATTCAGTAAACTTTATAAAATAAATGCCCTTTTTGAGATGTGATTTTGAAAAGCACAGAGGTATTTCAAGATTTCAAGCTGCTAAAGTTGTTTGAATTATGAAAGCAAGTTCTTCAGAAGAAAAATACAGGGAAAAATTATTTTGTCTGATTGACATGGATGCTGTACAGGAATTTTAGAGAGTGATTAAAACCTCCTAAATGCTATGAGGTAAATAATTAATTGAAGTTGTTTTCCTGTAATGTAAATTGAGATAGTTTATATATCTGAAGTTTCTCCCTAAATATTTTGATGATGAGAAGATGTCTGTAAACCCAAGGATTCTGATTTCAATTTCTGTTCACTTAATTTGAGCATCGTGAGCCTCGGTGTGTGTGTGTGTGTGTGTGTGTGTGTGTGTGTGTGTGTGTGTGTGTGTGTGTTTGTGTGTGTGTGTGTTGTATATTTTCTTCTTAACACCCATGAAATGATATATACTATCAGGAAAGAATCCTTTATTTAAATTAAAAGAAGAACAAAAAGTTAAAATAATGGCAAAGTATTTTTTCAGCTGAGATACTGTAGCCTGAGTTTCTTCAGCTTGACAAGAAGCACCCACAAATGTCCCTGCTAATATAATGGTAGTCTTTCTGTATTCTGTGTAGGTTCACCCACATTATTGAGCTTAGCCAGAGTTTTCTTCTTACTCTAATTATATTGCTGTTTCGAACTTTTCTGTCCAACCAAGTTTGACTAATGCTTATATCATAACACTGTTGAATAGTTTAATTTGCTTAATCCATTAAAAGAGGCACAGTGACGAAAATTTCTTTCACAATACCAAGAGAATATTTTGGTTTAAATTGTTATTAGATATTACAGAGCTGGCATCAATGAATTTATGAAATCTAATTTATGTATTTATACATATACATATACATATATATATATATATATATATTCACTATGGCATAGTAAATGAACCTACTGTGTGTTAGTGCTAGATGCTCAGGTTTACCAAGAGACAACTTGCTATATAGGCAACTTCGTTCACTTAAATTCCTAACCATCATAAGGTTGGATATGAAGCATTTGGTGTTAATGCTGATATTTTCTATTTTTAGAGTAATTTATATTGCATTATATTACCAGTAAAATTTCTTATCAAAGGCTTTGCTTTTATTTTTATTTAGACTCAGATATGGATAATCTCAGAATCATTTTATTTTTCTGGGATGTACATTA